AAGCCCTGGAAATAGCCATTGGCCCAGAACTATTATTATTATTATTATTTTGTCAATTGTGGGGCTTGAACTCTGGGCCTGGGCTCTGTCCCTCAGCTTTTCAGCTCAAGGCTAGCACTCTACCACTTGAGCCACAGCGCCACTTCCAGTTTACTAGTGGTTTATTGGAGATAAGAGTCTCATGGACTTTCCTGCTTAGGCTGGCTTTGAACCATGATCCTCAGATCTCAGCCTCCTTAATAGCTAGGCTTATAGGTTTGAGCCACCAGTGCCCAGCCCAGTACCAATTTTTATAGTAATAGTGATATTGGGGAAAACATTCTGCTTTCTCCAGAGCCCATATGAAGAGATCAACTTCTTCGTTATGTCTTTGCTATCTTTGTCTCCCTGCCATCCAACACCAACCAACCACTGGGTATCTGTTTTCAGTAGATCCTTCCCCATCCTAAAATAACCACTTATTTGATACAAGAGAAACCTTTTGAGTGTTCACCTTATATGCATAAGTTTAGTTTCAAGTTTCTACCTTTTATAGACCCAGGGCTTCATCTTCTGGTTCCTCATGGTGACTTTTAAGGATAAGGAACATCTGGCCTGGGCCATAAAAGATCCAAGAAATCATTTGGTACATGACAGGACAGACATATTTTTCTAATTGGCTACCACAGCCATTGGCCTGTACTGATTTTTGTATGGCTTGTGAATGATGTTATGAATATCCAAATGGCCCTTGGCAGAATCAAAGATTTTCCATGCAACACTAAACCCTCAAGTGATCTAACATAGTCTCCCTCCTCTCATGCCTCCCAGGGGAATGGCAATACTAATTTGAATATTTGACTTCTGTTGTTACTTCCTTTTTTCAATCTATATATATAGGGGATTTCCTTTCATTCTTATGTGTTCAGCAATGCACTTAAAATTAAATAATGTTTGTCGGGCTGGGAAGGTGGCTCAGTGGTAGAGCGCTTGCCTTGCATGCATGAGGCCCTGGGTTCGAGTCCTCAGCACCCCATAAGCAAAAAGAAAAAAAAAACAGAAGTGGCGCTGTGGCTCAAGTGGTAGAGCGCTAGCCTTGAGCTGAAGAGCTGAGGGACAGCACCCAGGCCCAGCGTTCAGGCCCCACGACTGGACAAAAAAAAAATAATGTTTATCAGTTATGATCATTGAACATGGGAAGACTTTCAAGATTTTTGTCTACCATAACTTGTCAGAAACAGGATTCTTCACTTCTTGTTTTTCTAGTGGGAGTGCTGCTTGACTTTGATTTTAGAATCACCCCCACCGTGTGAGTGTGTGTGTGTGTGTGTGTCTGTCTGTCTGTTTGTATTGGGGCTTGAACTCAGGGCCTTACACTCTGGCTTAGCTTTTTCATTCAAGGAGGATGCTCTACTATTTGAATCACACCTCCCCTTCCATCTTCTTGCTTAATTGGAGATAAGAATGTCTTGAGTGTATCTCCTCAGTCTGCCTTCAAACCTTGATCCTCAGATATTTTAAGTGTGAGCCAAGCTCTAGGCTTGAATTTTCCAATCTCTTAATGAGATTTTGAAAGTAAGATTTAAATCATTAGTGTTTAGCTTGCCATTTTGGGTCATCAAGTACTTATAGGAGAAAACAGGTTTTTATTTAATATGGTAAAAAAATTTCCTGCCATCCTGAAGGTAAATTCCAGATGTTCAGGGATTTATCCCTTGGCTGTCTGTCTCTGTAGTTTTGCCTCTGCCTTTCTAAAGTGCTTGAAAGTCTCTGAGCACTCCAGAGTAGTCGCTACTCTTTCTCCTTATACTCCTTTCCAGGACTGGAAGCTCTACCTCCTCACAAGTCTAATTTGTTTTACTAAGACCTAATCATCTCTCAATAATTATTTCTACTGACGGCCTTTACTTCTCCTTTCTTACTCTCCACTGTGTCTATTTGGTTCAGAGTACTGTCACAGAAGGTACCACACAAGTAGGTTTACTTTTTTACATGCTTCTTTTACTGCTAAGCTTTAATTCACATAAGAGTTGGGAACATATGTTTTCATCTATGTATATGGGGTGTCTTAGCAAAGTGCCCAGAAAGTAGAGGGTATTGAATGAAATTTTTATTAAATAAATGAATGCATGAATCCATACATACATGCATAAATGTATACTCTGCTTTAGAATCATGTCTTTGTGCATTGGGAACAAGTTGTTAACAGGGTATATAAGAAGAGTAAGCAAACACTTTGGGGAAATCAAAGTCAAGAATCAGAATGATCATCTAGATCTTGGTGCTCAACCTTTCTTCAGCCACAACACAATTTATATTCACTTACCTGACAGAAAAATGCCCACAGAAAATGCTGTGAGTGACTCTAGAAAGTTTAGTATAGTCATTGACCCATAGCCAACAGGCCAAAAGTTCCCCTTTGTCTCTGGCTTTTCTTCTGGAAAACCCACATATGGAGAATTAAAGCGTCATTTAAATTATTCATGACTCCTAAGAGCTCATCCTCACGTGCTTTCCCCAGGGACTATAACAGGAGACATTTTCATTTACATAGAGAGGAACCCATCACACAGACTGCTTTGGCATTTACTAAGAGTCTCACCAAGTCTTCCTGCCTCTACCTCACTCTGATACCAAGACTGGGATTTCCTCCACTTCCTCCCACAGGTAGAGCAGTGCCTTTTTGAGTAGGGCATTATCAGAACTTCTGCAGCTACTGAAGGGACTGGTGTTCTTCATGAAAAAGAAAACCTGGAAACTCTGTAAAACTCTAGTCTGTAGACAAGTTACTATCTGAAACATCAACTCATTCATGCCATTCTTTAATATCCTAGAGCAAGTATGTGGATATAAATGTTTTAGAAACTGGGTCTCTAGGGGCTCAGGAGTGTGGCTCAAGTGTTAGCCTAAGCAAGCATGAGGTTCTGAGCTTAAACCCAGTACTACCAAGAAACTGGATTTCTAGGATATTTTCTTTGTATCTTCCAGGGAGGTAATGAATGATAGTTTCCAGGCACTCTTACTCAGTCTGAATTCCTTGTCATATTTTTGGTCTATGGGAGTCTCAGTGGATTTCTATAAATTAATGGATTGCATTGTAGAGGATCTTGATGGCAGGAAAGGATAAATTCACATAAAGGACATCTGGATAGTGTCTACCTACATAATACCTGGATTTCCAACATTTAATTCTGCACCAGAAGTCTCCAGCAAACAGCAAAATTTCCATAGCAACTCTAAAAGTATGTATTTATAAACTTAGGCCAGCCTCATTCAACAAAGATACCTCTTATTAGCCAAGGTAATTATAGTAACTTAAAATTACTATGGCCACAGATACCATAACAACCATGGTGCCATGATTGCAGCTATTTCTGCTGCTATTTCTGCAGCATTCACTTTGGTGAGTTATAGTCTTTTTTGTTTTTGCCAGGCCTGGGGCTTGAACTCAGGGCCTGGGCACTGTCCCTAAGCTTCTTTTGCTTAAGGCTAGCACTCTATCACTTGCGTCACAGTGCCACTTCTGGCTTCTGTTTATGTGGTACTGAGGAATCGAACCCAGGGCTTCATGCATGCTACGCAAGCATTCTACCACTGAGCCATGTTCCCAGCCCAGTGAGTTATATTCTTTTTTTTTTAATTTTTTATTGTAAAGATACTATACAGAGGGTTACAGTTACATGAGCAAGGTAATGAGTACACTTCCTATTGAGCATTGTTACCCCCTCCATTGTTTTCCCCCTACCATCCCTTCCCTCCCTACCTTCCCCGAAGTTCTTGAGTTATATTCTTAATATTGTACAATTTACTTCTATCTTTGTGGCTCTGTAGCTCTGAGTTCAATGAAAAATATCTAGAGACCTCTGAAGTTAAACAGTTCCATTTTCCCATTTAACTGGATAACTAACTTCTTCAAGTAGGGAATGTAATTTGTTTTATTTTTCTGATTTGTATTTCTTGAAGAGTCAACTTGTAAGTCAGGTACCAGTGGCTCATGCCTGTAATCCTGGCTACTTGGGAGGCTGAGAACAGGAGGCTCGTGATACTCCCATTTGAATCCAAGGCATTACATGTGGTTCACAGAGAAGACGGATCTATTGCATGTGGCTGATTGAGTTTTGATAAGCCTACCTGAGGACTCTCCAAGGTACAGATGGATCCAAGGGATTTCTACAATTTTATCTAACACAGCTTCCCTCTCTCTCCATCCTTTGTTGGCTAAATATGTCTGCACAAAGACCATTGCTACTTTTCAAATCTATATACACACGATCTCATTTCTGTCACTGTAATCTTAACCATTAAATTCTTCTCCATTCCCCTCTACCAGGAAACTACTAAGCCAATTTAGGTATCCTTCCAAATTATGTGCTCCCACTTGTAAATGTCTATCCTGTGAAATACAGAACACCGGCTACACATGAAATTTACCTTTCACTGCATGACCTTTTTACCTCACAACAGCAGCATTGGTCTCTAATACTATTCTCTTCTCTACCTGTAACAGTTACTTTAAAATCGGTCATGAATTCAACCTTATCGCATTTGGTAATGCCATAGGAAATCTTAATTCTCAACTGGAGATCCACATTTCCACTGGTGGCATGTTGAAGTCAGAGAAGGAATATCAACAGTTGGGAAAATACATGCCTATCATCAATATGCATCACCATCTTTTGCATGCTCCTCTCTCTTCTCCCTTGCTCAATTCCCTTTCTATTCACCAGATTCGTATACCTTCTGGATAGTGGATGGTAAGGTTGAAAGGGATTATAGGTTGCCAACAAGCTCATCTGGTAGGGAGGACTTAATAAGATTGGTGACATCTCTAACCCCTAGGAGACAACAACCCCTGATCTCTCCCACATGCTTATCACCCATCTGCCCATGCAGAAAATTCAAGTGGAATAGTTGGTACACAAGAGAGACTGTACCATGCAGGCCTTATTTCCTATAAATCTTTCAAAAATACATACATTCCATATACTTAAGAATACTAGAAATCACCAAGCACACAGAGAAAAATAAAGCCACCTTTAATTCCATGTTTTTCAGTTACAGTTACCCCAATGCTTTGGTGTTTTCTGCTCCAACACCTTTCCGATACTGCCGGGCAAGGCAGGCAGTGTGGTACAGATAAAGTGCATTCTATGGCTCCTTTGCTCTTAGCAGTATGTCCTAAGCGTCTTATTTTGCTATGAAAGCATCTTCTACAGAATCATTTTAATAGTTGCTTCTCATTCCACAAAGTTTTGATATACCATTTGTTTTTAAATCTTCCCTTTTTGAGTATTTTCAGTGTTTCCTTTTTGTATTATTATAAGCAAGAGGATGAGCAGGATCATAGGGAAGCATCTGTATTTCCCCAAAACAAAACTACAGCATTAGGAGCAGTGAAATGTGAAGTGTCCCCAACCATATGCATCAAGTCTACAAATGTTTCATGATCAGTCAGCCTCCACCTACAACATTGTCATTTACAGTTTCATGCTGCATATGATCTAAAAAGGCAACTTGAATCTACCTGGACATGGATCCTGAGCAGAGGACAATACAGTTGACTTCCCCTTGCCTATGGGGAAAGCTTTCTGAGAACCGCATGGATGCCTGAAACTGCCAGTAGTCCCAAACCCCATATGTACACACCTATGATGAAGTTTAATAGATAAATTAGGCACAATAAGTAATTTCCAATAATTAATGATATAACAATTCTAACAATATATTATAATAAAAACAGTTTAAAACAAATTTTTTCTCTAGAATCTTCCACTTAATATTTTTTTGTACTGTGGTTGTCTCTGGATTACTGAAATTGTGGAAAGCAAAATTGTGAGTGAAGGGGCTCCTGTATTCAACATTCATGGGGACTACATTTACTCGGAATGAGAATGAGAATTAATCCTGATCATGGATCTTGACCTGATGCATGTTTTGAATTGCAGGGAGGAGCTATTTCAGGACTATGGGGCAAAAGGGACTTAAATGTCTTAAATGATTTAGATCAAAACCACATTCTAGGTAATCAGAAACTGGTTAAAGAAAAGAGTCTGTTTTTCCAACAGTGGCCTTCATTTTTTAACACACAGAAGGAATATATTGTACTAATATATCAGTGTTTCTAAGCCATACTGTGGACCTAGACTGCCTAGGGTTGAATCCCAGCTGTGTTACTACTAGAAAATGATCAATGACCAACTTGCTCCGGCTACAATCCTGAATGTCTGCATTCCTCCATAATGCATGTGTGGATTCTTTTTTTTTGTATATACTTTTTATTGTAAAAAATACTGTACAGAGGGGTTACAGTTACATGAGTAAGGTAATGAGTACATTTCCTATCAAGTTTTGTTACCTTCTCCTTTGTTTTTCCCCTACCATCCCTTCCTTCCCCACCTGCTCAACTCCTCCCTCCCCTCTCCCCAAAGTTGTAAAGTTCATTTTCAACATAGTGTCTTGTATATCTCATTGTTACAATGTGTCAATCTATATCTTTATTTCAGCATTTTGTTATTTCCCTTCCCCTCTCCAAATTAGAAAAACATATATACAAGATGCAGGGCAGGGCTGGGAAGTTGGCTCAGTGGTAGAGCGCTTGCCTTGCATGCCTGAGGCCCTGGGTTCGATTCCTCAGCACCAAATAAGCAAAAAGAAAAAAGCTGGAAGTGGCGCTGTGGCTCAAGTGGTAGAGCGCTAGCCTTGAGCTGAAGAGCTGAGGGACAGCGCTCAGGCCCAGAGTTCAAGCCCCACGACCGGACCCAAAAAAACAAAACAAAACAAAACAAAAAAAGATGCAGGGCACCGGAATGAAATACAGTAGAAACAGGGGTTATACCATGGGAGAAGAACATACAAAAGAAACAAAAAAATCATATAGTACATTATAAATACATTAAAAATGGGACTGGGAAGGTGGCTCAGTGGTAGAGTGCCTGCCTTGCATGCACGAGGCCCTGAGTTCGATTCCTCAGCACCACATAAGCAGAAAAAGCCCGAAGTGGTGCTCAAGTGGTAGAGTGCTAGCCTTGAGCTGAAAAGCTGAGGGAGAGCGCCCAGGCCCAGAATTCAGGACCCATGACCAAAAAATAAAATAAAAACAACAGCAAGAAAGATTAAAACACTTGTGTCTCTATCTTTGGGTTCATTTCACTTAGCATCATCTTATATGGTCATATGTACATAGCTTTTGAGCTTTTCTGCTTGTCCCAGACATATGCTAATTATTGTAAATAAGGGAAACCATGGGACCTATATTTCTTTGGGCCTGGCTTACTTCACTTAATATAATTTTTTCCAAGTCTTTGCATTTCCTAACAAATGGGGCGGTGTCATCCCCACGGCAATAGTAGGGGTAGGTCCTGAAGGTGGTGAGTAGATGGTGAGGGTGTAACAATTATGAATGGGATTTGTGCTCATATAAAAAAGCTTGAGGGAGCTGACTCATCTCTACCATCATGTAAGAACACCAAGAAGGCATCATCTCTGAGGAACAAGTCTCATCAGACACCCGTTCAACTTGTCCTTGATATTAGACTTCTCAGCTTTCTGGCTTGTGACATACTCTGTTGTTTATAAATTATTCAGTCTAATACGAATTGCTATAGGAGCCCAAATTGGCTAAGACACTTACCTTTGCCACTAACTCAGTTTCCACATTTGTGGAAAGAAGACAGAGTTAAGGTCAAAAGCTTGCTGAGAGTAGAAGAAATCACGAGCACAAGGCACCCAGAGCTGTGTTCAACATGGACAGAGCTGTGTACAAGTGTTAACCATCATCACTAGTGCCAAGATGGGAACTCTTTTTGACACTGAGAGGATTGTTTTTGATGCTCTTATACCTACAAGACTAAGGCTCTTTCACTCACCCCATTTTTTGCTAATTATATAAAGTCTGTCTTGAAAGATACCTTTATTCAGATCCCAGATGGTAGCTGGACCAAGTCCTCATGTGGCTGTGGTCGCTGTTGGTCATCTTCGGTGAATCCAATCATCTGAGTTAGAACAGAGATGGTAGCAAAGGGGATCTCCAAGTCTATAAGGGCTGAGGCTTTATCAGAGCCTAGAGAACAGCAAGACTACTTAAGTCTCTGCCTCTAGCTTCAGCTTTAGAGTCAGATAGATGCAAAGCTGGACCAAGGAATGTGAAATCACAGCATACCCTAATCTTTATGGTCAAGGCAGGTCACCACCATGACCATTGGTTGAACATAAAACTGTGTTCTAGTATGTTAGATGTTATATATGGTAGTCTCATAAGTAGAATGTTTAATATTTTTGTGTAATATTGAATGCCTTCATCTTGATGAAAACCAAGTATCTACAAGATTTGGGTTCAGAATAGGCATTGAGATCTTTTGCTTGTGTTACTCTGTTTAACTATGGGCAAGAGAAAGCCAATGGCTACTCCGAGAAATAAGATTTCCTTTCTAATTCAACAGGCACTAAATAAATAGTTATTATTGGAAGAAAGGTGTTCTAATACAAAATATGGCCAGAAGAAGGGTTAATTTACAGTGGGTTCAGCTCTCATACATTTTCTGATGAACTTTTGGGACTTGTGGCTACACTGCTGTGTCCCAATCTGTCTATCACTTGAAAGAGAGAGAGAATCCTGGCCGGGGGGCGGGAGGGAGGAGGAAAATGAAATAAAGGTGAGAATCACTAAATTTCCAGCATCCATAGGACTTATTCCTAGCAATCCCATTGGTCAAAATTTTACAAGGGCTAGTTGTGTGTTTTAGGATAATTTAAATGTCAGGTTATAAAGGAGTAAGAGAATAGAAAAGGATAAGAAGACAGTAAATAGTTTCTGAGCAACTTACCATAAATGAAGACAACTATTCTGGGCTAACCTCTGGCTTTTGCTCCCCTCACAGCTCCAGTCAGTGAACAAGCAGGCAAGTCTCCACCCTCTTCATGTTTTCTGTCCCTGGCATGTGCATAGGGTCCAGCAGAGAGACTGTGGCAATGTCTACACACTGTCTTGGGCTGCCCTGCTCTGTAGTCGGTCACGCAGCTACTCCTCCAGCACTGCCTGCCTTCTTGGGTGATCACTGTCACCATGTCTTCTCAGTTAAGAGCTCAAGTACAGGGAGGGAAGTAGCATCTAAAAAGAGGACCTGCAGACTGGATAGAAGATGGACTGCCCATAGGAGTTTAACTCCTGAACACTTACTGGCTGAATGCCAAGTGTCTTGATAGCTCTAAATACATCCCAGAAAGAAAGGTTCAGGCCTAACTACTTCTATATGGTCAGACTCAGCCCATGCCATCATTGCCTCTCTAGCAAGAGCCAGCAAACTTCTCTAGTCAAAAGCCAGAGAATGACTAGCTCTGACTTTTCTGATCTCTGATGTTGCTGCTCAGTTGTGTCCTGCTAACAGGAAAGCCATTATTGATCATATATAAATGAAAGGACTCTCCTGTGCTCCAATGACACTTTGTTTAGCAAAACTGGACATGGACCAACTCCAGAGCTCACAGGGGTTTTCCAGCCTATGTTCAGATTCATTATTCAGTTCTAAATTTTAAAATCCATGTGTTAGTTTCCTCAAACCAATTTCATTTTTGTCTTAAACTATTAAAGTTGTGCTTGGCAAAAGAATTAGGTAAAAAAAACATTTTATTCTATGTACAGAATCTCCACCTAAGGTGGGTCTAAATCTAAAAAAAGACCAATGGTAACCACTGAGCAGAACTGGAAGAGGCTCAAACTGCCCTGGGATAAGTAGATCTGTTTCACTCTGGCACAAAGACACCCAGGGATACCCTGGAGTCCTGGCCTGGGGCAGGATTATGAGCAATGTTTTTCTTACCTAATTCCTTTGCCAAGCACAACTTTAATTTTTTAAGACAAAAATGAAATTGGTTTGAGGAAACTAACACATGGGTTTAAAAAAGTTGGAACTACATAATGACTCTGCACATAGGTTGGCAAACCCCTGTGAGCTATGGAGCTGGTCAATGTTTTGCTACATAGTGTCACTGGAGCACCTATGTTCTGTTCATTCTGTCCCGCATAAAGTTCCTGAGCCTTACCTCGTGCCACCTACAATTCCGCTTCCCATCCTGGTGGGAATTAGTTGGTTTCTGACCACAAGTGGGAATCAGACGTGGATTCAGTTGTTGGTGTGATACAAAGGCAGGCTCACCAGAGCGAGTGACCCACAAACATTAAAGAATGGTGCAACAGCCACTTTCCCTTTCTTTTCTTTCTCTATTCCCCAAAAGCTGGGATGTTCTTTATAATCTTGAGACCCTCGCCATTCCCTGACACAAACAACAAAGGAATTTTAAAAAGAACAATATATGAAAAGAACAAGAGACCAGATTCAAACTATGTCTAAGTTATGTACCTGCTCTGTGGGCTGGGCAGTCCTTTGGCCTCTGGACTCCAATGATGACTCCTGTGAAGTCTCTGACCTATGGAGAATTACTGCCCCCTGCAAGATATGAAAATATCCTTTAGTACAGCCTCTGAAAATGTCATTTTTCTCTCCACTTCTGTCTTCAAAGCAGTCCTTTCCTCTCAGTTCCTCTTTCTAGCTCTGCTCGCACCCTGTATTCACTACCTGGGACCTTCCCCGGTCATGCAAGCCCCCAAGAAATAGTGTCAGCTTTTTGTTCTTACTGCTGCTCTAGTAAAACTTCCCCCTCAAGTTCTTGAAATTTTGTTTTCTTCTGCTCTATGTATCTTGCACCTAGTCAAGTCTTGGTCCTATTCGTTTGCCCAACCAAGGATTTCTCTGTTCACAACTCAAAACCTTTTCCTTGTCTCTTCCTACCTGCTCCACCAATGTGGTTCTTCCCAGTATTGTTTAGTTGTCAACAGGATTATCCAATGAGATCTACAGCAGTACAACCACTCTTGCCCTGACTGTCTCTCCTCTCCTCCTCCCAGCAATCTTAGCTGCTAGGGGATTTGGAACTCCCTGGGAAGAAACAAACCTGCTGGCTTCACCCTTGCCCCTCCATGGCTTCTGACACCTTTCACTCTACTAGTGAGTGTTGGCTAACCAGAACTCTGGACACCACAATGACAAGTAGAGGTAGTGCCCACAACCACATCCACCAAGGCCACAGGCAACCAGTTTGTAGACATTAGAATAGTTATAGCAATCTAGGAAGCAAGTAGAAACAAATTGGAATTCAAACCCTATTCGTTTCTCATTATTCCAGCTGTGAGCTAATGTAAGTCCATCCCTGAGATGCCACTCTTTGAAGTTTTGATTTTAATTCATCTTCATCCCTTCAGGCTCTACACATCTACTCATCTCCTAAACTTGAAACCCATTACTTTGTTGCTTTGGAAATACAACCATGATGGCAGCTTTCTTTTCCTCAGTCATCATTACCTTCAGCAACAAAGACATTCACAGCTTCAAGGCTGTGGAGGTTCATAGTTTACCGAGTATCTATCTGTTTATGCAACCACAGTTCTTTGCTTTGTACCTCATAGAGTCCTTAAAACGGCTCCACATGAGGCAAATATCCTTCATTGTTCCATTTCTCAGGGCTTTGTCTGACACCAATCAGCTAAGAAGCAGCAGATTGGATTTAAAACAGTGTGGCCTGGTTCTTAACCCTTAGGTTAAGCATTCTGGGAACTAAAGTCAACTTGTGACAATGAATTATCTTCATTGTTACATAGGGCATCCAAGTTCCGTGCCCTGTTCCCAGGCAGATCTGGCTCTGCTGCTCCTGGCTCTGCTGCTCCCAGCTCTGGTGTGCGGTTACAGAATTCAGCACCACGCAGCCCCCTCCACACGCATTTTTCTTTGCTCAGGAGTTTGAGATTGTGAGGCAACTGACCCAAAAGCTCACTTACCAAGAGCCCTGTGCCTGTGACACTGTCCATTATGAGTCTCTTTTGGTAGTAGCTCTGGCCATGATTCAGAACTTTTCCTTCTTATTCTCCACAGGTCCTCTCAGGAGTGTTTCCAGTTTCTGAATGAAATGTGTACTTGTGGTTTAAGGGAAATGTTGTACAGCCAGGCACAGTGGTACACACCTACAATCACAGCATTTGGGAAGCTAACACATGAATCATGATCATGAGTTGGAGGCCAGTCTGGCTTACATACTGACACCTCATCCACTTCCCCCAAGTGATTAATTACCTTAATATGAACATTTCAGATCCTATATGTATTGAAGTATCACAAGTACTCCATACATGTGTACAATTAATCCAGCCTTTCTGTCTCTATGACTTTTTTTTGGGGGGGGGGTCGGGTGTGGGGCTTGAACTCTGGGCCTGGGCATTACCCCTCAGCTCTTCAGTTCAAGGCTAGTACTCTACCACTTGAGCCACAATGCCACTTCCTGTTTCTGAATGGTTTATTAGAGATAAGAGTCTCATGGCCTTTCCTGCCAAGGATGACTTTGAACTGCAATCTGCAGAACTCAGCCTCCTGAGTAGCTAGGATTATAGGCCAGCCCCACCACGCCCAGCTATATGACTTCGTTTTTATTTTTTTATTTTTTTGGGTCCAGTCGTGGGGCCTGAACTCTGGGACTGAGTGCTGTCCCTCAGCTCTTCAGCTCAAGGCTAGTGCTCTACCACTTGAGCCACAGCGCCACTTCCGGCTTTTTTCTTTTTGCTTATGTGGTGCTGAGGAATCGAACCCAGGGCCTCAGGTATGCAATGCAAGCGCTCTACCACTGAGCCAACTTCCCAGCCCCATGACTTCGTTTTTAAAAAGCAGATTATTCCCTAGCATCCAACAGGAATTCTGGTTCTTCTGGAACAGCTAGTAACAAGCTGTTGACTTTTCTAAAAAAAAATCTCATTTACGAAGCTCTGGAATGATGCAATTGCCTTTAGAAGTCCTTATTTGCTGTGTTATTTTGGTCTCATTTCTCTAGTGGTATTTTACAAACCATCACATTTCTTATGATTGGCTCTGCTTCCTTCACTGCACTCCCAGATCTTGTCAGTCATGATACCATTGAGATCTTTATCTACGGGTCAAAACCGTCTACTGTATTCTAACTATAATGGTGATATCACAAGCAGAACAGAGCCTACTACCTAAATAAATGCAGTTACAAGACAGGAAAGAGAGAACCGGTGTTTAATCGAGGAAGAGGAGCCCTGGGATTATATCTCACTTTTTTTCAGTGTAATCATCTCTTAGGAGCTGAATTTTAGATTCAGAATAATCCTTACCTTAGTCTTCATTATACATTGAATGGATGGGGAAATGTTTCAGGAAATAATCAAATGGAAACTCTTTTGGGGAGGTAGCAATACTGGGGTATGAACTCAGGGCTTGATGCTTGCTAGGCAGGCACTCTATCACTTAAGCCATACCCTCAGCTCTTTTAGTTTTCATTATTTTTGTCCTGGGGCTGACCTTGGACCTGCTCATCTGCTTAAGTAGGATACAAACCATCACATTTGGGGTGTGTGTGTGTGTGTGTGTGTGTGTGTGTGTGTGTGTGTGTGTGTGTGTGTTGTTGTTGTTGTTGTTGTTGTTGTTGTTGTTGTTTTGAGATGAGGCCTTGCTAACTTTTTGCCTAAGCTTGCCTCAAACTTCATTCCTCTAAATCTCAATCAGAGTGGCTGAGATTACAGATGAGAGCCTTCAGATGGAAACTTCTGAGAATTAAAGATACCAGATGTTATTCCAGATGCTGCCTTACTTCGGAGGACTCTGGCCACTTGATGGTCCATCTGATGAGACAAGGAAAGGATAGAACCTGACTTTACAAGAACAGTGACGGTAGGGCTAAAGGGAGACAGGGACAGGGGGATGGGAAAGTACAGAGCCACAGTGGACAATGACCCTCTGTACATCAACGTGAAAGAGAGCTCAGGAAAGAGCTTTGTCAGAATCTTCTTCATCTAGGGAAAAGCTATGTTTACTCTGACATTTCCTGAAAGGGATGAAATATTTGTATCCTTCCAACTCTCACCAAATTTCTAGGTGGGAACTCGCTTCTAGAATGCTTTGGTGAG